TGACAAAAAACGTGAAACACACGTGAAAAGATATTGTTAGGCTTGTAATATTTAATGAAAAGGAAGTTCATTTCTTCAATGAATGAGCAGGTTTGCTTGCGAGGAGGATCAGTTTCCTCTGAGTCACTTGAATGTGACCTTGAGCAGCGAGAGCAGCTGCGGCGACAGTAAGTGCGGCACTATCAACCACAAGCAGGACCAAAGAGCAAACGGAAGTATATGTGTGTATTTTTATACCAAAGCAGCTGCTCAAACAAAAAAAGTGGTTGTATTATAGATAACAAAAACATGAGGCAAAATGCTTATCTGTTGCCCCTTTCATTAAAGTACTTTCAAAAATCACAACAGCCACTCTCAAGAGGAGTCTGGGACAAACACACACAAACACTGAGCTCCAGTCACAGGAATACAAGGGCATCCATTCTCAAGTCACGCTCACTTTCCCAGGATGCTAAGGGAACTGAGACAAAGCGAGTCATTTAATTGAATAAGTGTGCTGGGAAGTAGCAAATGATTTGAGGACAAAAAACAAATGATTTCATGGCAACAGAAACTATGAAAGGCCGATCGTAGAAAAGAAAGAGGTAATTACTGCTGTTTGCCTGGGATACGGCAATAGAAGGACGGGTCACTCAATTACCCATGGTTCTAGGCAACAGAGGGGCCATGAGGTTTGCTCACCCAGAGGGGAGGTTTCCGCAGTGCATTGTGAAGAAAAGACCAGCACATTAATCTCCTCGAAAAGTGCCTTTTGTCTTTAGGCTGAGCTCCAGAGACTCAAACTCAGAGAGGAATACAAAAGAGGCTGATCTAGAGGAATAAGAAGAGAGAACAAACTTCCTTGGACCATTTATAAGGAATTTATAAGGAATTCGTTTTATAGTGTAAAACATTGAAATGAATATTGTGCTTTTAAGGATGTGAATATTTACCAAGGGTAAGCACTTTAAAATGGTGCATATACAACAGAAAACATTCAAATGACCTGATATATTGTCACTCGCACAACCAGTTCAGCAACCTGAGCAACAACTGCTCAGCTAATATCTATGTGAAGTTAAAAAGGGAAAAATAATAAGAAACATACTGTTTGTGTTTATTTAATGATTAACTTTTAAAGGAAATTAATAATATTCAGCAAGGATGCATGAAACTGATCAAGTGGCAGTAAAGACAAAAGTGCTAAAGCATGGTAAGATTTTGGTAACACTTAAGTTTAGAGTCCAATTCTCACTATTAACTGTTGCTTATGCATCCCAGATGCCAAATGACATCTGGCCCAGCTGTGGCCCACATCTCCCACATTCTTGTATTCAACTATGGCACATATGGCTCAGTTAGTTCACATGGGACACATCTGGGCCACAACTCACACTAAAACCGGCTTGATGTGTGTGGGCCATATGACCTTTGCCACTGTCAGAACTGAGCCATATGTGCCATAGTTGGCCCAGATGAGGCCTGGATAGGTATGCTATCTGAGATACTAGGATTTTAGATGTTTATTAGAACTTTTAAAGCCCATATTAATTCCTGATTCTGCATGCCCATATTCTACATTCCTTAATATTATCCAAAACCAACCTTAATTAACTATTAATAAGCAGTAATTAGGAATTTATTGAGGTAAAAGTTGTAATTAAAGGAGTAGTTCAGTTTAAAAAAAAAAACTTTTGTTGATAATTTACTCACCCCCATGTCATCCAAAATGTCCATGTCTGAAATTAAGGTTTTTGAAGAAAACATAACAGTATTTTTCTCCATATAATGCACTTTACTGGTAACCAAACGGTTCAAGGTCCAAAAGACAGTTTCAGTACAAACTGCAAACTGTTCAAAGGGCTTTAAACGATTCCAGACTATGAATAAGGATCTTATCAAGCGAAACGATCGCTCACTTAAAAAATATATAACAAAGTTTAAGTTTTATAAGCTGAAACACTCGCCTTGCTCTGTTCTGTGATGCGCGTTTGTGACTCTCCTGTTCGAACTTGTTCATCAAAATGAATCCTTTTCCGAGTCAATTCGTTCATTGAATGAACCAAATGACATGAAAAAAGATTCGTTCATTTTGATGAACGAGTTTGAAAAGGAGAGTCACAAACGCGCATCACAGAACAGAGCCAGGGGAGGGTTTTAGCTTATAAAACGTAAACTTAGTTTTGTTTTTGTTTTCAAGTGAGCGATCGTTTCGCTTGATTCATCTCTGAAATCGTTTAAAGCCCCTTGAACAGTTTGCACTGAAAATGTCTTTTGAACCTTGAACCATTTGGTGACCAGTAAAGTGCATTATATGGAGGAAAATCCTGGAATGTTTTCATCAAAAACCTTCATTTCTTTTCGACTGAAGAGAGAATAACGGGTGAGTAAATTATCAGCAAAAGTTTTTTTTTTAAAGTGAACTACTCCTTTAATAGTTAGTTAATACTGAGAACTGGACAGTAACATTTGACCAAGATTTCTTTTTAAAATAAATGCTGTTCTTTAGAACTTTCTACTCATCAAAAAAAATCCTGAAAGCATCTATTAGTTTGCTCAAAAATGTTAAACAGTTTAACTGTTTTCAACCTATTAATAAGAAATGTTTCTTCGGCATAATTAGAATGATTTCTGAAGGATTATGTGACACTGAAGACTGGAGTAATGATGCTATGCCATCAAAGGAATAAACTTTAAAATATTTTAACAGTAAACTGTATTAAACTGTATTTTTGATTAAAGAGATATGCAGCCTTGGTGAGCATGAGACATAAAAAAAAGCTTTAAAAATCATAACGACAAAACCGTCTATATCGTTTATGGCTTTATCCTTACTGAAGGCCAGAGGAGATTAAAAAAGTGAGAGACATTGACTAGTCATGTGTGGAAAGGAGTATCCGGTTGAAAATACGGAAGCGGTCTGTCTGTGCAGTCCAACAGATTTCCTCTGAGATCCCAGCCAGGAACTTGTTTTGGAATCTGCTGCTGCCTCCATGTTTTTCAGCCAACACTCACCTCACAAGCTACATCCTGTGACTCACCATATCAGAGTCATGTTGAACAGTAACATTAGTTCCTGACATGGCCTTTTCCTGATTCCATCAGCGTGACCTACATACATCAAAAGAATGGATTCTGAGAGTCATTCAGAGACTTCAGGATGCCACTCACAGATTTAGGCCATGCGCACTTTTTTTTTTTTTACTTGGGTTTTCTGTGGCTTATAGTTTGCCATACTAAACCTTTTAACTCCCACTAACCAATTATTCAGAAAACACACACTGCTTCCACGAACTGACCACAAGAAAAACAATACATCTGGATGGATAATTTGCTGTTTCAACTCTATGATTCACAGAAAGCATGATACGAGCCATTTGAGGCTTATTGAACAAGCAATTTTCAGTTTAAAAATAGATTTTCACAATAAAGTATCGTTTTGAATGACTTTTGTACTCGATAGACACCATACATCAACATAATCCAAATAAAAAAATAGGTGTGCAACTTTGAATATACAATAAGTTATGCACCTCGACACGTCCTAGTGACATCACTAAACCTTGATAACTAGCTAAGCGTATCACACAGCTCGGTAAGAATGCAATTGTGCTTCCAAAGGATAAAAAGCCTGCTTTTGTCTGAGTCAACAGCTGTATTTTATGAGTCACGAGGTTCTCAAAGCTGAGCTCATGATGATGCATTCTGGTTTCGAATGGAAATCGTTTGCTTTGGCCTCCCTGGTCAGAATCCATAGTGAAAAGAACATTTTCTGTTGGCTAAATAATCAAATCCATCTGTGCAATGCAATGTTAGAGGTGGGAGCTAGCCGTCATCCGATTCATTACACAACCAATGAGTTCAGTGTTCACCCTCCCTCACAGTCATAACGAAACTATGCTTGTTGAAAAGTGGCTACTGAGCAGTGACGCAATGTGGCATATCCTGTATTTTAGACATTGTGGCAAGGAGAGAGTATTTATTTGACATTTTGTGAGTCAGCTAGGGCAGAGATATCAAAATGCACTTATTCATACACACGAGAATGAAATAATGACTTCAACAGTGGGCCTTAACCACAAAGCTTAGGAAAGCGATATAATAAAGTTTCATGAGCTCTACCATATGGACATCAGTTATGCCCTTATGCCTCAACCATGTATTCTCTGTAAATCATTCGTATATCCATTGAATTACTTCAACTATTTACATAAGAATGGCTTTACACACACACAGTACCATTCAAAAGAAGTGTTTTTTTTTTCTGTTACGTTCACCATGGCTGCATTTTTTATTCATCAAAAAATGGAGTAAAACAGTAATATAAAAAAATATATATATAAATGGCCTGTAATGGCAAAGCTGAATTTTCAGTCTTCAGTGTCACGTGATCCTTTAGAAATCATTCTAATATGCTGATTTTCTGCTCAGGAAACATTATTATACTGTAATACATTTAAAAAAAAAAACAGTTGTGCTACTTAAACTTATGTGTGTGTGTGAGAGAGAGATTTTGTTTATTTCAGGATTCTTCAATGACTAGAAAGTTCAAAAGAACCATATATTTGAAATATAAATGGTTTCTAAACATTAAAGTAACATTTTAGGTCACTATTGCATCATTGCTGGATGTAGTGTATGATTAACGAAGTTCATTCTGCCAGTGTTTCAATTTTTGATTTTTGTAAGAAAACAAAATGTTTTGTCAATCAGTCATAATGTACCTATTTACAGAGCATTTTCAAAGGTGGTACGTGGTGTTCATAAAGACAGTCATAAAGGTTTTTTACCTTCATGAACGTCAAATGCAATGCTCTTGCAATCTGTTCAAGTAAGATAACCTGCCCACAAAGTCACCAAACTAACAACTGTGTGGACAGACTACAAGATTATGACACCCTACAACTCACTGTGACACTGCACCTCTCCTCAGTCTGAAACTCCATTTACATACAGTGACTAATGTCAGAAAAAAGATGTTTGTTATATAACTATAGACAATTTCACTGCCACACCACCAGTGTTTACATTTCCATGTGTTATTATTTGTCATTGGTTTAATATATAGTGCTAAATGTTTTGAATTAAGAAATATTCACTTTTCATTTCATCAAAAATTACAGATTTTACGTTTATATCAATTCAAAGCATACCGGTAGGCAGACAAGCCACTTAAATTGACTGCGAGCCATTTATATAGTCCACGGCATAACCAAAAATGATTATGCATCTTTAGTTCTTGTACAAACACAGAAGACCATTATTTTTGTTATCTCTTGTTTTCCATGGCCAAAATATGATTATTTTTATTTAGGTAATTCATATTTCCACATGATTAGTTTGAATACATGGTCACATAACTTGATCTAGATGAATTTTAATATGAAACATCAGGTTTTACATTAATAAATACGAGTATTAAGGTACATGAAATGTGATTCAACATGTACTGTTTTATAAATCTTCTAATTAAAACAGACATGATTACATAAAAAAGCACATTTCGGTCTATTTCTAAAATCACTGAATAAATCACAAAAGAATGCCAGTTACCTCTAGAACGACAAAGAAAATGTGAACACGTAGTGGAATATAAAAGAAGTCGACAATGTGCAGATCTGGTTCTCTCGTACACATTTATCAGTTCTCGCCATCACATGGGTTCCCACAAATCATAACTCTGTTTTCCAAACGGGCACGTTCAGCCGCAAACACAAGTTTATGACTTGCTAATGTCTCCTTAGGACCTGACCTAATCAGAGTTGGGTCCTTATTCTATATTGAGAAAGAGGGAAACAATTACTCTACAATGATCTACAGCAAATCAATGATTCTACAGCAAATACAGAGAAAATGATCTTACAGATCTATCGTCTTACCATCACAGCGGCAATGAAGGAGTCGATCAGGTGATAATCCGCAGAGCCGTGACCTCCTTTACCAAAGTTTCCTGGAACTCTCATGTCTGCGGTGTGCTTTGTGCTTCTATTAGTTAGGAAGTCGAACACTTTGATATCATCTCCATTATAGGACAGTTCCCCCTTGTGAGAGAATAAACAAATAGGGTTTAAAGGGTTCACTTTGAAATTAATTTTTGCTATGTTTTAACTTCCCTCAAGGGCATCCAAGATGTAGGTGTGTTTGTTTCCGCAGTAGTTTCTATTTTGATATTTTTAGGTCAAACCGTTCTTGTCTGTCAGTCATATAATGGAGGTCTATGGTCACCACCTCAAAGAGCATGCACAGAGATGTCCAAATTAAAGATGATTTAATGACTCGTAAATGTAAGTACACATTTATTGCCCTAGACACGAATCGAGTGGTTTGTGTGAGAAAACAAACAGCATTTATATCGTTTTTACCTCTTGTAAACACAGCCACGTCCAAGTGATCTGAGGGCACGGACGATTCGGTGAACTTTTTCTCACACAAACCGCTCATTTTGTGTCTTGGGCCATCAATGTGTACTTATATTTACGAGCCATTAAATCATGTTTAATTTGGACTTCTCTGTGCATGCTCTTTGACGTGGTGACCATAGACCTCCATTATATGACTGACAGACAAGAACGGTTTGACCTAAAAATATCAAAATTGAAACTACTGTGGAAACAAAGACACCTACATCTTGGATGTCCTTAATTTCGAAGTGAACTATCCCTTTAAACCCCCTTACAGTCTTCAAGTTCAAAGTGTTGTAATATTGACACAAATGAGCAGGAAGTCTCACCTTACTACCATAGATAGATGTTCTGCGTTTACATATTTCCTCTGTAAATGCTACCATGGTGAATGCGGCAGTCAATCCTCCTTCAAATTCCATGTTCACTACCTGCAATAAATGATTTAACAATAAAATAATATTCTTTGTTAATGACGGGAAACATCATTACAAGCATATATAAACTGCATGAGATTCACCAACCTGGTTTGAGCACACATCATTGTCACAATCGTAGACACAGCGTCCATACGGTCCTGTTCTGAGGGCTTCAGTCACAGATTCAATATCAGGAACCGAGTTGCGACAAATTACTGAAACCGGCCAGCCATCATTCCCCTGATTTATGAATAACGTAAATAAATAATGTAAATGTTCTTTTTGTTTTATATGCATCATATGATTATAAGCTTCAAAAAGCATAGTAAATAAAGTTTTGGAGTTGGTAAGATATGTTTTTAAAGGAAGAATTATATTTTCACAAAGTCTGCATTTATGTCAAATATTGAATTTTGTATTTGTATAGCGCTTTTCACAATACATATTATTTCAAAGCAGCTTTACAGAAAGTGCATTTCAGAAATGTAGGAATGTATTTATTCAGAAATACATTTAAAATAGTAATATTGTGAAATATTATTAAAATTTAAAAAGTAATTTATTCCTGTGATGGCAAAGCTGAATTTTCAGCATTATTACTCCAGTTTTCAGAGTCACAATATCCTTCAGAAATCATTCTAATATACTGATTTGCTGTACATTTCTTATTATTATCATGAAAATGGTTCATATTTTTGTAAAAACTAATTTTTCAGGATTCTTTGATAAATGGAAAGTTTAAAAGAAAAAAATATTTGAAAAATAAATAATTTGTAACATTATAAAAGTCCTTACTATCACTTTTGAGCAATTTAATGCGACCATTCTGAATCAAATGACTCATTTCTTTAAAAAATCTTACTGACCCCAAACTTTGGAGTGGTAGTGTACATAAACACATTACTCTTTTCACTCGATCCAGGTAGATTTTCTTAGCAGAGTACGCACAATCCCCCTCTACAGGACAGTCTAAACAGCGATTTGCAGCCTTTGTTGGCTAGGAAAATCGAGAAATAATTGTATTATTTTAGAGATCTCAAAATGGCAATGTTTTTAATTAAATAGTTTAAAAAAAAATAACAATACATAATAGTCAAAGTCCAACCTTATTCTCTTTTGTGAAGTGGCTAAGTGACCCAAATGATGAAACTTTTAAACACCTGTAAAATAAAATTAATTTCAAAACCATCTAAACCTTAAGACTGACCTTAAAACATCATGAATATTGATACTGGAAAAATTATGTTTTGTGGAAAAATACCGAGCTAGACTTGAGAGCCTTTTCTATATGAGTGACCCACTAACATGAGGTTAAAAAAGACCCCTCCCATGCTATCAGTCTGAACATATAGAGAAACACTGATAAACGAAGATAAGACATTCCATTCATTCTTTCTATCAATTCACTATTACTTTGTCTTCAGCTCAGCAGTGCACGTGCGCAAATCATGTTAGATTAAGTGTACCTTCGTCCGCCTGCCCAATGATGAATCAGATCCAGATCATGACAGGATTTGGCTAACAGAGCAAAAGAGCTTTCTGCCTCGTTTCTCCAGTTCCCTCTGACAAAGGAGTGAGCAAAATGATAGAACCCCACCTATCAGAGAAGACAGGGCTGACACAACACAACTGCACGCAGCACACGCACACTGCAAGTTTATTTAAACACAACCTACCGGTTCAAAATGTTGAATGTGGATGACATCTCCAATCACTCCGCTGTCAATCAGCATCTGAATTAAAGAAAGAAAAAAGTATGTTTTCTTGTGCCCGAGAGCTAATATGGTTGTTTATTAGGATTTAAAGGAAAGTGTAACTACTTTTATTTCGTGGATCACAGGGTCGTATCGGAGAACATGGCACACAGTGAGCATGACACCACTCTGAATGCAAGTCTCTACAATCTCTGTGCAGTCCTCCTCTGTAACCTTAGACATCAATATAATATAAATAATAAAATATTCATACAAATATTCATATTTTTAATTGAATAACAACATAAAATGATAAACAAATTATGAACAATACCACAGGGGGTTGAGTGAAAAATCTTGTTTATGCACTCTCTTTATCAATGGTTGTTTAATATGCTTTTGAAAACCTAGTATACTATTTTCGAGAGGTTTAAATTTAGCGACTCTAAAAAAATGTCATGTGGTGTAAAATCAATAAATAAAATCACACATTTTCCAACTTATTAATATATATGATGATGTATAATAAATATTTTAATTAGAACACATTTTTGCAAATATTGTGAATTATTATTATTTCTTTTTTTAAAAGGGAGGGGGGGGGGTGGCAAAAAATAAATACAAGTTTATGACAAAACTACTTAATTATAATAATATTATATTATAAACTATGATAATAGTTTTTTTGTAATGATAATAGCAGGATATTTGTACCATTTTTCTACTTTATACCCCCCAAAAATATCCAAATGATGTTTAATTTAATTCACAAATTACCATAAGAGGTGTATTCAAATAATGTATAGTGTATAAAATGCGTTTTAATTTTTAAATCAATCAACAGAGCAAAAAAGCTGTTTTCCCAAATATAGCACAATTGCAAATGTGATATTGACTTTCTACAACAGTTCAATAAACAAGAAGATAATATTACATTTGTTAAATTTTAGATAAAATCTCACCAATGAAAATAGTTCTAAACAAAGCCACAGCAGAACCATTGTGCATCTCTGAGCAACACACACTGGTATTTCATTCATGAATGAATTGGCGTTTGGAAAGAATCGGTTGAGTGAATAATTCAATGACTCACTCGTAAAGTCAGTCACTTGCCTCGTTCCTGAATGAATAAGCCGTTTTAAATGAATCAGTCATGGAGCCTTTTGGCAAAAAGACACTTACAGCCATTGGTTTCTCCAGCAATACATGGTAGCGTTTCTTAGCTAAAGCCACAGCAGGGTCCTGAAGAACAAAACAATGATTGGACACTGACTGAACCCATTTATAATCATTAACAAGTAAAAAGTGGCTAAGCATGCTGAGCTAAAAACAACTCTATCATGTGAACATTGACCAAACCTTGTGAAGACGATCGGGAGTGCAGATCAATACAGCATCTGCAAATTTCTCTCTCTCTACTATAGAACGCCAATCTATGTAAAAAGCAAACAAATGAACTTCCAAAAAGAAACCAACACTTTTATTGTAACATAAAGCTGGGAAACAAAGCTGGACGTACCATTAAAAGTGTTGAGATCAGCTACTTTGTGCTGAGCCTGAAGCTTCTTTCGAGCAAAGTCTCTGGGGTCAGCAATTCCTACTACCTATGAGGAAACAGTTATAGGCATGGTTATTTTTTTTTAAATAATAGAGTTGCTGGCTGTCGATATGAGATTAAAACACAAATAATACCCGCATGCGGTCAGGATAAATCACAGCATATTCCGAATAATTTTCTCCTCTGTTACCAGCTCCGACCACGATAACATCCACAGGCGATGGCATTATAGCAGATCTGCAGATTTAACAAAATATAGATTTTTTATTTAGGTTTCATAGTTTCATTCTTCCTACAACTAAAAATGCAGATCTGTAGCCTATTGCATAGCATTTGACATCTTACCATTACATGCAAAATTCCCAAGACTGAAGATCTGTAACGTTAGTTGGGACTTTGCTTTATAGGTTTGTCTTGCTTTAACTTAACAGGGTTATAAAGGTCATTGTGAGAGATACTGGTTACCAAATTTCAGTAAATTATTAAGTCCAAAGAGGCTGGACTGTGAATCTAAATGGCAGAGACATTAAAGTGAACTTGTCTTTTGTAAACAGATTAAACGCTATGTGATATTATCTGAAGAAATAAGGAACGGGCGTCGTGTTTTCATGCGTTACCTTACATCGAGTTATCAGCGCCTCACATCGGACTTCTTGGTCCTGAAACGGATTACGGTCATATATGTGCTTGATTACGTGTATGAATACAAACTTCGCATGTGGTTACATATGCATATATCTAAAACAAAAAGACAGTTTAGGCTGACGGCATCTTTTTCTGAAGACGGCTCATTCACATTTGTTACTTCCTTGTTTACGTTTGAGCGATGACGTTCTAATGACGCAAGAGCAACGCTCGAAAGAACATGCCATGTACCAAGTCAATGTTTTCCATTGAGCAGTTTTTACGTCTCTATATGATATCTATGGTTTTAAGAACATCCTGGCCTAAAATTACAACAAAACACCATAAAAGCACTTTCGATACACGCGGTTTATGGCCTATAGGCTGAGTCAGTCTTTGACAGACCGATATACAGAAATCTTAAGAAAAATATTGATGTTCATACATAGTAATGCTAAATTAACGAATAAATGTTTTTTTTTAGTTTTTTGTTTTTGTTTGTTTGTTTTTATACCTCTATTTGCATTGATTTAGTATCTCAACATATGGGTTTATAGGTTTTTAAATTATTTGTAACTGTTTTTCAGGAAATGCATATCTGATACTAGAGTATTTTCTACTTCTACTTTCACTTTGTTCATTTGTGAACTGGATGAATGTATCGGTTTTATGTAAGAGATGCATCAAGTTCACCTGAGGTAGTACTCCCTCTTGTGGACGTAGGAATACATACAGCTCTCCAAATTGAATCTGTGATGTTTAATGACTTTTAATTTAGTTTTTAACAAAATCCATTCACACTCAAAAGGTGCAATAATTTAAAAAAAAACTGCACATTTATTTTGTACTCTCTGTCTATACCATATACTGGGTTTCTTTTAGCGCTTAGCTGTTCACAACTCACCCACAAGTGTGTCACTCACTAGACACCTAGCAGCCACTTTATAAAATCTGCTGACGAGACAGTGGTTGTGAAACTCATCATTCGAAAGAGCGTACAAAGAGGTGAGTGGAGAGTGGAATCTCTTTCAAGAAAGACAAGAAAGAAAGAGATAATGACTCAACTTGAGTAGACTTTGTCTTCGCAGCAAATTAGCATATTATAATGATTTCTGAAGACCAACAAAAATCTGGATTCTTTGATGAATAGAAAGTGTTCAAAATTCTTTTTAATTTATTTATTTATTTATTTGAATGTTATTTGTGTTGGAACATTGTAAATGTCTTGTAAATGTATTTACTGTCACTCCCTGCTAAATAATTAAATTTAATAAAAAAATCATACTGCCCCGAACAAACAGTAATATACATGTCTGACAAGACTGCACCAAATGTGAAATTTTGAAAACTTAGATAATAAAAATTCCAACACAAAATCCCTATAAAAATTCTTGCCTGAATAAACAAATCAATATAAATACATGAGCCATTCTGCTAAAGTCATTCTCACTATCAGTTCATAATTAAACATCTTGAGCATGTTTCATCTCTAGTGGACAGTACATGGACCAGAGACCTCTCGTTTTATTCTAGCCCTCAGTCTGCGCAGTTCTACATGGCCACTGTCCACTTTAAGCCCGGTCTCTGTCAGAAGCCAAGCTTTGTCCAGTTTCTGCTCTCCATAGTTCTGCAGGGCAAAGCGCAGGAACTTTTCAGCAAGGCGTTGTGTTCCCAGACCAGCCTCCACACACAGCAGTGCCTGTCCCTCATGCAGATCCAGGGCTTGAGAAATGTCCTGTAAGCCAGATTCTTCATGGGAACACAATAGCAGACTACGGCCTCGGCGGCAAAGGTCCTCGGCCCAAACCTTTGGCTCCTCACTCCCATCTGCATTGTGGCCCTGAATAACCTTATTTAAATCAGACACAGCCCTGTCGTGGAGGCCCAGGTGGGCCAGGCAGGCTGCACGCTGCCTAAGGTACTGAAGCTTCATCTCACTGACCGCTCGCACTGCCAGCGTGAGGAGGGCTAAAGCCTGCTCCCACTGGCCACTTTCAGACACAATGCCGGCCTGCTGGGATGCTGCCTGGAAGCACAGAATCATTTTATGAGACACTGTAGAGTTAAGTAAAGTCATCAATACAGAAAAGAAAATAGAAAAAGAACAGTGCCAGTCCTGCACAATAACAATAACAATAGAATTTCCGTTTTCAAGGATAAAATGTGTAAATGTATGTGCAATTTAACTGTAATGGGTTATCTGTATCTGTGCCCATTTTGGGTGGGATTCGCATGTGTTTAAGTTCTGTTTCCTGTGTTCTTATAAGTTACCATGGTTTCCCATTGACACACATACAAACTACAAAATACACTATGCTAAACCTACCCATCACTGAAAACTTTCTGCATTTTTTCATTTTCAAAACACTTAATTTAGTATGATTTATATGCCGTTTTCCTCATATGGACCAAAACAAATGTCCCCATGAGGTCAAATTTACTGGTATTACTATCCTTGTGACAATATTTATTCCCCATAACGTAGGGAAAACCAGGTACAAACATGACTAGTGATTACCTGTGCCAAGCGTTTTCTTTGAGCTGACTGCATGAGACTGATTAGAAAGTCTAGAGTTGCTGGATCTTTCTCAGCCACCACACTCAAATAATTGGTTGCCACTTCGTAGTTCTGCTGCCAGGCCTTCACGACACCCCACCTGGCCTTAGCTGCGACATCTCGAGGCTCTTGACCAAACACCTGCTTCAGATGCGCTCCTGCAGCATTCACCTCCCCTTTACAAACATCGTTTCACACACATTTTACATAGACTTAATGTATACATTTTTAATTTGTCTAACACATTTGATGTGGAATAAACAACCTACCGGCCCACACACTTGACTCTTTTATGCTATATACTGCTCCCTTACCTTTGGCAAATAGTGTATCTATGTACAGGAGGTGCCACCTGGGTTCCCTGCAGTCAGTGTTCATTAGTGCTCCACCAATCAAAAAGGCTTCTCGAAGGTGCTCCTCCCGGCAGGGTACAGGGTTAGCCAACAGAGTCTCTGACAGGCGGCTGCGACAGTACTGACCCAACCATTCACTGACCAGTCTCTTTGCTTTTTCTTTAAGTGACAGCATGCTCTGAGTGACTTCCTCAGCACCACACTGAAGGGCAACTAGTATGTCTAGTGTGCATTCCTGGTGAATTATTGATGTTAATAGTGTCAGTTTACAAGCATAGGAAATATTACTTTAAGTGTCTGTTATTTCAGCCACTGATCTTCAAATATTGGTAATAATTTACAATCGAGTTAAACTTGACATATACATTAAATAATGCATTATAGTAATTTTTATAGAAATAATGTCATATGTATAAATCTAAATTTAAATGTCTAAAAAATATATTAGTCTATGCAGAAGTTAACATTTACCAAGATTATTAAACGTTTTTTTGTTTGTGTGATCTATTGCATTTACCATGCGTTAACCTTATTGTAATGTGTTACTGAATCATGAAGCCATCTTTAAAAATACTTGTAGGCTCCCATAGATGGAGGTCTTTGTTTTCTGGTACCACACCTTCTGCTGGTTCAGCATAAGATAAGTGAATCCTCTTCCACACAAAGCCTCCACATGGTTTGGGTGCTCTTTAAGGATCGCCGTGAAGTCAAAGATAGCCGTCTTCCACTGGCCCAATAGAGCATAACATTTTGCTCTCTCCAGCAGGGAATCTATTGCGCCACCACCTAAAGAATAATCGTTAACTCAGTTACCTTCATCTCTTTCTTTACAATATAATTGCTCTAAGTGATTATGAGAGTTACATGAAACATAAAGGCCACACTGTAAAAAAAATATTGATGGTTTAACTTAAAAAAGTAAGTAACCTGGTTGCCTTAAAATTTTAAGTTCATTGAACTGGAAAAAGTGAGTTAATACAATGAAGGAGATTAATTTAACCATTAGAAACTCAAAATTATATGTTATCTGAACTAAATAAATTATTTAAGCTGATTTGACAAAAGAAAAAATGTTGTGATTTCTACACTGTAAAACATTTTTGTTGGTTTAACTTAAAAAAGTAAGTAACCTGGGTTGCCTTAAAATTTTAAGTTGATTGAACTGGAAAAAGTGAGTTAATACAATGAAGTAGATTAATTTAACCATTAGAAACTCAAAATAATAAGTTACCTCAACTAAATAAATTATTATAAAGTTGATTTGACAAAATAAAATATGTTGTGATAACAAATCTTGAAAATATTTTTTACAGTGGGAAATCAGTTACAGAAGAAAGTAAATGAAAATTGCACAGCTGAAGAGGAACAGCGTCGATCAGATACAATCAATAGTGTGAATTCCTGTTTGCATTTGCACATTTTCCTCTACATTTGACCCTAAAACCATATATATTTTGTAATGTCAATTAATTATTACTGCATGTGTCTGAATTTAACATGTCCTTGTTACCTGAAGCCATAATGGCAATGGACAAATAGGCCACAGCTTCCCTTATTGCACTTTCCGCTTGTTGGCCACACAGTATACGTTTTGAAGCGGTGTGACAATGTTTTTCTAGAAGTGTTCGGTCTTGTAAAGATGCTACAGAGAGAATGGGTCGTAGACAGCTGGTGTCTCCTGAATTAATCAGCTTTTTCAGTAGCTGTAAGACAGAGATATTACTTGATACGAAGCAGAAAATGAATAAACTATTATCATAGAAATATTTAATCATTTAAATGTTTAGAACTAAGTCATATAATCTGGCACCTGATAGGCATCATAGAGGAAACCTCGATGCAGCTGCAGAATTGCAAGACGTGCGAGAATCGGTGGACGTGGGGCTGTGTGCTCAATGTTGAGAAGAAGACGGTAAGCCTCCTCAACACGACCCAACTGGTACAGAGCATCTGCTGTGAGAATCTGGGGTCCATCGTCACCGGGCTGTAACTCCATTAGTAGAAGAGCAAGAGCGTGCACTCCAACGGAAGACCTGAAGGAAGCACAGGAAAAAGAATATGACAGTGGTGTCCAATCATGCTTTGGGAGGGCCAATGGTATTGAGGTGCGTTCAAGCCATGTCATAATTACTGTATTTCTAGTTGAAATAAATTTCTTGCATACAGCTCCTTTAAGTTTCATTCAGAATCTGAAAAATGCAAATGTACCTCTGTTTGTTCTTGGTGTGACCTTCCTCGTTCTCTTGTTTTGCTGTGGGATTTGAGTCAGCTTTTTGTTCTTCAGTCCCCTCAAGCATAACCCTTCCCTGTTCCAGCAACACAGTGCACAGCAACCCACGGTAGTTCCACGGCACCAGGCACCGAACAGTTACAGCGGTGTCCTGCAGCTGTAATCGGCTCGCCGTAACGTAATCTAGAGCAGTAAGGTAGTGTGAGCCCCCCATCATACGCAGGACACCCCTGCCACAGAGTGCACGGACACAGCTGGGTGGGTGAGGAGTATTATGCTCAATGACTGCTTGGAAATCTTCCAGAGCACCTTTATGGTCCTCGGTGAAGAGTCGTGAAAACCCTCTGAGCACTTGCACGGTGTTCTGGTAGCTCTGCTGGGCTGGAGCTGCAGCGGCTAGCTGGCTACTTATGGAAAGGGCTTCTTTATGTTCCCCACGCAAGAGGAGGCAGTCTGCCAGACGCACCCGCAGTTCCCTACCTCCTCCGTCTGACTCCAAGTGACAGAGAGCTCGCAGCTGAGCAATAACGGGATCCAACAACTCCACTCCTTTTGAAGACCGAAGGTCAGGCCTTATAAGAACGGCCTCCCTGAACTCTAAGACACCCTTCTCGGCCTGTTGGCGCAGCTGGATGCGAGCAGCCAACCCTATGCCATTGTCCGAGAAAAGGCTTTGGAATTGCTGTCTCGCTGTCGCCGGATGAAGTGCAAAGCCGTCACCCAGGTCTTTGCAGACTTCTCTTGCCCGTCCTCCTACTGAAAAATGTGCAGCTGCTCTGCCCACCAGTAAACAAGCTCTTTTCTCTGGTGCCATTACATGTTCAGTCTGTGATTCATCTAGTTTAAGGGCCAGCGACAAAGCTTCTGCACTTTCTGTGAACTTTCCTGTTGAAAACAAGACTGCAGCTTGAAGTTCTCTCACCTGGATGTCATTAGGTGAAATGGCAAGTAAAAATTCAACCGTTTTAGTGGGATCAATGTCGTCACTTGCTTGTGGAGAACTCGATGCTTTCTCTATCTGCCCTTTAGCATGAAGTATGGAATATCTCAGATGCATTTGCTGGTAAAAGGCTTTAATTAATAGTTCCACATGTTTAGTTTGCCTTTCTTTAACAAGTCTAATAGTTTCTGCTTTATTTCCATTAAAGGCCTGCAGATAAAGCTGAGGACCTTTGGGATTTTGAGGGTCTGAGAGCAAGCAGGCTAGAGCTCTAGTTAACTCCAGAACTAACCGTGTGTGACCTTCAGGTTGGGGAATTTGCTTTCCCCCTAGAAGAGCGGAACACCGTGCGAAAATCTCGTCCGAGGCATGACCTGTCCCCTGCAGGACAGACTCCATTTTATAAAGAGAAGCAGAAATATTATTGGGGCATAATGTAGACAGAAATACAGCAACAAGACCTTTGCTCAGGCCGTCAATTGAGTTGTGCGAGACGCCATCAAGCCAGGCCTCCAGAGTTGAGATCACCTCCTCTAAGAAACCTTTGTCAAGGCCACGCATGTGTCCTATGGTGGATCCTGCATGATTTCCAAAGGCATGGGTGTACAGAGCAGCAGCTCTGCCAGGGTCCCCAGAGAGCAATATTTTGTCTCCCTCTCTGCACAATTCAGCTGCACCTTTATGCATGCCATTCATCTCTCTTCTCTGTAATGCTATTTCGCGAACATTTGGACATTTCCTCCACAAGGGTCCTCAAAGATCTTTGAAAGTATTTGAAAGCAAATTACTAAAAAGCATCTTTCTCTTGCTCTTATTAATATCATGCATTGAATGAGTAACTGTAAATATGAATTGCATAAATAAATGACACTAAATTACTGTTTTAAAATGTCTTTTAAAATATAATAGTATCTTTTTTTGTTACAAGTTAATTTTTAAAGTAGTAACTGTAGTACTAGTAACACTGTTCATAGACAATAGTATTTTCTAGGCTACCTATTAAATTAGTCCATTTGAACCAGGTAGGCTACTTGTTCCCTAGTTACTAGGATTCCAGTGAGAAGTATCATTTCCAGCGTTACTAGTTTATTTAATAAATACTAGTAGCTTGTAATTATATCTATCCCATTTAACATCCCATTTAAGTTGTTTCTTGTGATATTAATGGCTAGGCTTTTACAACATTAAAAATGTTACTAGTTCCATTTCGGATAGTGACTAGCAGCAAATGAAGAACAAACATCCCATAAGTAGGCTAGTGATTCACTAAAAAAATAGGAATATGCAATAGGCTAATGAATTGTTGTTACTACAAAACTACAGATACTAGTCAGTATACAATGATGGCTTATCAGTTCTAAGCAATAAATGTTAACATGGCTTCCAGCAGACACCAAAGTAAATCAGACTTTTGTGAAAAGAGCAGGCATTATATCGAGATCAGCATGATTTACTCAGATGATTTACTCACCTTTTTGTGTCTGCAAGTTTGAGAGAGGGGGTCCAATCACTTTTGGTCGGCTCCTGTCTTATCTTAAATGAGTTAAACATTATTTCCTGAGATGTACAGCATATTAAACACTATTTAGATAGACCACAAATGAATCTTCTTAGGCTTTTTTCTTCTTCTTCAAAATAACTGTCAAAAGGTGCGACTGTCTGGTTATAGAAAAGCTTGGCCACGAAAAAACATCTTGCTGAAACTCAATATGCCGACCCCATAAGTGAAAGACGATAGGAAGACGAAACAAAGAAAACTAACACTTTAAAACAGAGAAAACACAAAATGTAAAACGTTAAGGAAGTGATAGGTTTGGGCAGGTGCTCTAACGTTACTCTAGCAAGAACTACTAATAATTAGACTAGCCTACTTTAGACTAGCTGTGACACAACGCGACATTCTTCTAAATTAAATAGTTATCTTCTAATATCTTAGCAACGTATAGGGCAAAAATGTAATGAAGTCTTCAGGGTCTTTATTCAGTCGTCCTGTTGCGCTTCTTTGTAACATCCAAATTCCAAGAACCTAGGCTCTAGGCAAACACGCTTCGCCCTGCATGTGTTCCACAGTCTATGATGTGTTCACTAGTTGCTATGGAAACGATCAACTAACAATGTGTGTTCTAAGAAAGTTGAAATTTCCTAACCATTACGTTATAGAAACGTTATTTCCCCAAAGTCAGGAAATTTTTAAAACTTTAAAAAAAATATGTATTTTGAAAACGTTCTAGAAAAGGTTATAAAACGATCTAGAAAACGTTATCAAAACATTATATCTTTTGGTCATGTACATGATACATCCTGTTGGTATTTTCCCAGTTGTTACACCAAAATTGTCCACAAAAGTGTTTTTTTTTTTTAATTTACTTTTAAAATACACAAACTTGAATATGACTGAAATTGCAACATTTAAAGAGGATTAGACAAAAGTAACAATTGTAAACATAAAATAATGAAAACAGTAGAGATAATGGAACACTCTAAATTAAGTTTAAAAATGTGCTCTATAAAATGAAAATATAAAAATAAAAAACATTAAAAATATTAATAAAAACTGTAATATCTCGATACTATAATGCTCTTTGGTAGGTCATTCAGTGAATGGGTCCTCAGGCTACAGAGAGTAGAGAAGTGCTGATGAAATAGAGACAAACAGGATGAAGAATCATGTAACACTGGAGTTAAGTATCAGTGAGACCTGATTATCTATAAATCTGTCTTTATAATGCTTATGGACAAAATAAAACTCCAGAACACGAACAAATGGTTACTATTTCTGTTTTTTCCCCCTTATTTTTCTTCACCAGTCAAATGTCAGATTTTTCCATCGCTGACAGTGACAAATGACTGATTTATGTACAACCTGCAATACTTATTAATATTAATGTATGCAATACTCAAAATAGTAGGCGGCACAGGGCATGTTAGTTAAAGATGCAGTAAGCAATTTCTGAGAAAAGCTGTTGAAAGTGGATCTGACCAAGCACCAAAACAGACGTGTAGCCAATCAGCAATAAGGGGCGTGTCCACACATGAGATTGAAATGTACCTGAATTTTGGAGCAGAGGAGCTATCAAGATAGGAGTGTGATTTTTTAAGGGGCGGGTTTGTTTTGATGATTTCAAATATCAACAGTGTTTCTCAGAAATCACTTTCTGCACCTGTCTGGTTATGTCAGTATGCAGATCATGACACAAATCCAAAGAACTTCAAAGTACCATGTAGAAATATTACTTCCGTATAAAAGGCTAACAGGGTTATGTATCGCAAAATAATGGAAAATAACAAGTATTACAATAAAGCTTTCATCTCGGCCTGCATAGAAAAACAAACATGCAGGGCAATTATAGTCACGAACAAAACAAAAAATGATTTTACTGATTTGCTCAAAAAGACGAGTAACTTACCGGTTTGAATCAGTTTGACTGCATTCACTATGTGATGTTACAGCAAGAATGTTTGCTCATAACTTTGACAGAACCTTCTGAACACTAAATTGTTTTTAATTTTAACATGGTAATACATTTTACAAAAATTAATAAATAATGTCATTTGGAATCACCAAAGTGGGTTTGAGGGATGGCATTTTACATTCTCAGAGAACATACAGTACATTTCTTTGAACTGACAACGAGCAAATAGGTTATGGTAATATACAAGCCTGGAAAAACAAAATAAAAAAAAACGCTTTTGATGTGGTTTATACAATAGTCAGATGAATCTCCACAGCAGGGGAAATTCCTTGTTCAGAGGCCACAGCAACTGTTTGCTGACATTCACTAAACTTAATGTCAGAACTTTTCTCTTTCTGCACAGCAAGGACACTTTCACTGTCACACTTTTTATTTTTATAACAACTGAATCTGAAACATACAAATCAATCAATTACGTTTTTATTAAAAAAAGTTACAAATATACACTGGTGTGACAATGTGAATTAAGTAATAGCCCACTGTAATATGACTGAGAGCTTATAACTTTTAGCGTGAAACATAACACAGTAAGCACCTATGTTTATCCTGAAAACCAGTACAGTACGTCCTTAAATTAATAGTGGATGATAAAGGTCTGGTTTCACAGACAGTGCTTCAACTTGGCCATATAGGCCTTAGTTGAGTTAAGACATTTAAGTAGGTTTTATAAATGTGCCTTAAAAGAAAACATCACTGGTGTGTATCTTGAGATGCACTGAAAGATATTTCAGTGCAAGTTGCTTTCAGTTAAATTAGCTCAAACATGCATTTTAGTTTGGGACTAGGCTTAAGCCTTGCCTGTGAAACCAGGCAATAAATATTTTTTTTAAATTCTAAGTTAGAATCGGTCAATTATTCTATATTTATTCTACTTTACAGTGTGCTTAAATAAAACAACAAATTTTTAACCATGACTGAGCGTTTCCTGTTAAAAGTACAGAAGACCTTGCAGAGTTCCCTGTAAATGATTGTGAAATTCAACTGCAGCACTCACACATGAGGAGATGGAGTCAAGATGAGGCAGATTTCATGCTAGACTGCAGTTGCTCTAGCTTCTCTTGCAGTTCCTGGGCACAGCCAGACAGGTTCATGTAGTGTAATGTTGAGTAGATATTCTCCAGCTTCGCTCCACTGCTCTGACTCCACAGACGCAGCATCAGGTACTGCTTTTCTAGATAGGACGGCCCTGCCTCCAGTTCGATACGTTCCATCTGATCATCTGACACGGAAAGCAGTCGCAGAAATTCCTTCCAGCGTGTCACAGGAATCTCTCTTATGATGGTGTAGAGCACTGGTGCTGGCCAGGTCTCTTTCTGCAACACCTGCATCACTGGGGAAATATGTAGATATGGCCTTTAGATACAGAGGAGTTGGATTAAACAGAGTAAAATGCTTTTAAGTGTAAAAGGTCAAGAAACCCCGAGCTGTCATTTAAAATCTCCTGTTGGTTCATTTTGATATTTGAGTTGAAAATACTTAAATGTACACTATGTAACTAAATTTAAATAGCGAGTCAAAACATCAATTTAAAAGTCCCATTAAAAAAAGATTTTCGGAGATTTGAAATAGTCCATTACAAGATAACAATCAGTCTAGCAACAAGACAAACACTACAGCTTGCGGTAGGTCCTTTTCCTATTTAGCACCAAAACAATCTTCCTAACATTGTCCGGGAAGAAGACACAGTCTGTCAGTTCAAATCTAGATTAAAAACACATCTCTTTGACCTAGTTTACACATAACACATTATAAACTTATATAGTTCAATGTTCGGCTGCATAGTTTAGATCAGCCGGAACCAGGGACACTTCCCATAAATCCTGATGTACTTGGTATGAAGGATGGCTACACTAATATTAATCTCTCTAATATTAGTATCCTGAGGTTTGCCGTAGTCTGCAGGATCCAGGCCGTATCCAGATCTGAAGAAGGACCTGCGCCTGGACATGACGACAACGCAGTCCTGAAGTGTCAACAAGTCTCTCCCCTGTTAAGGCTTCCCTCCCTTCCCTTTACCTCTGTACAGATTGTCGGGATAATTCTGGTTTGTGTGGCTATGCAGACGTGACAAAAAATTCTGTATTATACATTTTTAAGACCAAACAAGTAGTTTGTTGAGTGTTGATTTGTGAATGACTACACATATATATTCAAACGTGCATGCCTTTGGACTGATTACAAGATGCGCATGTTCGCGCCGTCTGCGTTTTCTCGGGTTTGCGTTTTTGAGGTTTAGGATGAGATTACGAATAATCGTTTGCAACTTCGAACCAATTTCAGGGAGTGCATTCTCGAGACACCAGGCACTGTTTTGTGCGGATGGGCGGCCGGAGTGTGTTAAGTTTTTCTGTTAGAACGTATTTTAGTGTGTAGTGTTTTAGGGTTAAATGAAATACAAGTAATCTTAAAAAATCCCGAGACAGAAAATGACCAAAACCAATTCTCTGTTTTTCTACGGATATACTGTACATAAATAAGCCATAGAAAAGCACGTTTTTATGAAAGTGTGATACAAAAGACATGAAAGTAGCGCCGCATGAGGGGACTGATACATAGTGTTTTATCAAATATTAGACGGCTGAATAGTGCAATACTCCAATCCGAATTCAGTATTTCAGAGAGCCGTGTGATATGAACTTTTAACATGCAATTGTAGCCTATCATACAGTTTTTTTTAATGTGTGCCTATGGTAAATAAAATTAAGGATGTTTAATGAGATCTAAAACAAAAATCCCTCCTTTTTTATTCGTATCTACTCTGAAAATCATCTACTGCATTTAATCAGCCATTTTAACGCCCTTTCAACATGAAGTTGTGAGGCTCCTACCACACCGCCAAGGAAGCAACTAAGTGTGCGAGTCATTAGAAGTTACCATCTGATTAGACAGTTCTCAGAAGTTCTTTGACTTTGATTGTGATCACCTAGCCTCCAGGCTTAGCATACAATATCTCATACGCCTACACGAGTCGCAAAAGGGATAAGACTAAAAGACTCAAATTGAATAGAAAAGCAATCAAAAGATTCAAATGGTTTTAAAACAGAGTACACCTAGGCTACACTTAATTAAGATTTGCAATATATACATTTTTCATATAATTACATTTTGGGTTTCCATTTGCTATCAGGGGTGTCATGATGCTCTGTAAGTCTCCACTGAAGACACTGCGTGGGAAGCTGGTCACTGGTAAAGTTTTGATAGAGGTTTCATCGCAGGCTGAGGTATATCTTTCCTTTAAAGACAAACAAATGATTATCAAGGTGATGACTGTCACTAGAACATGTCAGAGATCAACATTTCCACCTTGTAATTTCATTGTGCATAATAGAAAAATGTAAAAAAAAAATATTAATAATAATAATAAATTAAAAAAAATTACAAACCATTGCTATGGGAATGTTGATTACATCATTAGGTTGGTCTGCTAAAACAAAACAAAAAATATTTGGTCACTACATACATTATCTGGAATATAACATACAGATCTTCTAAATCAAAGTGCATTTCCTATTTAAAAAAAAAAAAAGTACATGTGACAGTATATGAACCTGGTTGAATGTGAATGTTTGACTGTTTGCCAATTTGCCAGGTTTTGTATGGGCAGCAAAGCCATTTCCATCTACAGAACCGGATGAGTAGAAGACAGAGAAGACCACCCAATAAGACCACAATGATGAGAGACACCAGCAACAGCAGCTTTGGAAATCCTAAGACTAATGGACAATTTATTTAAACACACACACACACACACACACACAAAAATAAGATTAGTATTTTTTATGGTTTGCATAAATATTTCTATGAGCATGTTAGGATGTTGTGATACCTTGTGGTTCATGTGTGGTACAAAAAGATTTACACGACTCGTTCTTGCAGCCAAACCTGAAACAAATTACATTAAGCAATAGGATGATTAACATTTACTCTGCCTTAAATCACTTTCATTACAAATATCTCCAAACTGTAGGCTCAACTATAAAATAACAACCAACCGATTTACCACAAACAATTTTACAAGCTTATAAAAAAAATTATTCTATTCTTTGGTGAGGTGGAAACTGAAATAGTGTTTTATTGCTAATCATGGGTATACAATAGTGATGTGCCCGAAGCCGAATACATTATAATGGCTACAAAAACGAATAACGAATTCTACCGAATAATTAAAAAGATTATTCGGCCGACACAGTAATAACAGGTTAGCTAGCACGATATTATAGCTGCATAAACCTCTAAAATCACTACGCAATAATTACTGTGTGAGTGAATGAGTTACTATATGAATGAATTAAAAAAAAGAGCTTGCGATAGCAAATCTATATTCGTTTAAAATGGCCTACTCATGTAATTTGACAAACTTCCGGTTAAAGCCCAACTCACTTCCGGATTTATCCAAATACAGATATAGATAAAAATAATTTTTGAGACAATTACCAATTCAGATACTAGCTCCACTCTGTCCATACCCTTAATAAACAGTCACAAATGCAGGAAATTCTGATGCTGAATTTCCACCATATGCACAGGAAAACCACAACACATTAACCTACATGCTAAAGCCTATAATAATCAAACAGGAACTTTCAAAAATCCTTGTTCTTCATAAATAGAGTAATTTACATTGAGATTCAAAGTACAGAAAAATGTGAATTTGGCCACATACTCTACACAGCTTTGGCATCGTCCACCATCCAGAAAATCGCCAGTCTTACAAGTTATTGCTGTGGTTGTAGTAGTCATTTGTTGGTTACATGTCTCTTTACAGTTCGAACCTGAGTGACGATATAAGGGGGAAAAATAATCAGTCATGGTTTCCTGGCCACAAGATGTTCAGCATTTTTTTATTACAATAGAAAGCATCATCTGTGTCCCTTGGTCAAAAGTTTGTAAACTTGCTTTAGTGGTACTTACATTCATTGTCATTGGGACTGCAGTCTTGGCAATTACAGGGTTTACAAAAATGACCTGATTTGTAAAACCCAGGTTTACAAACGCAGACTCGCTTCTTTGTTGATGTGCAGGTGGTAAGCTCTACTTTATTGTCTGTAAAACCATGATTGTCATTGTCTTACAGTATATCCAGATTTAAAGGTCATCCTGCTACAATTACATAAATTACAAATAGCGTATTCTAATATTTTACTTACCACCACTATCACAAGTGTCACATTTTGGGCAATATGTCATTTCATTTTCAATGTCCATGTAATGATCGTGCTGACACTCTACACAGAAATTTTCTTTTTTGTGAAATCCTGCAAAATATGATACAATACTTATTGCAGAGAGGTGGAGGAGGTCCATCTTTTATGTGTGTTTCACTGTGGATTTAGTATTACTTTTATTTTAAGCAGTGCAAGGCAGATCTGGTTACCTGCTGAACATTTTCCATTTGCATTGAGTGCTCTTGTATTTTGGCATTGGCATTGGGATGCAATAAATAGTATAAATACCTGAAATAAAGACAATTAACTGCAATCAAATAAATAAAACATGTGGTTTAACAACCTTCCGAACATATTAAATACCATCATATTTATATACCTAGCATCTGAATGTAATATCTACCCAACATCATATATCTGAATAGATATATGTTTCAAATATTTGTAAATTTTCATATATACAAAGATACTTTGTGAAAAATATAAGTGAGATATCTTCTCACAACACTGTAGAACACAAAAGATATTTTAAAGAATGTTTTGGTAACCAGACAATTGATGGTAGCCATTGACTTTCATTTAATTTTTTTCCCACCATGGAATTCAATGGCTTCCGTCTCGTTCATTCAAAATTCTTTAAAACATCTTTTATGTTCAACAAAAGAAAGAAAATACAGTAGTACAGGTTTGGAACAACTTGAGGGTGAGTAAGGGAGGACAAAAATAAGTACAGACAGAAAGATCCCTCCAAAGTTGGGAAAAGTGGACTTTAAAATCTTTTTATTTTTAAATATTAATTCTAACAATCTAATACATTTTTTTTAAATATTGTTCCTTATGCCCAATCCTTTTGAATCCATGTTTTGCATTGAGGACTTAAACCCTCAGGCTTAAAGACCCACATTTGATTCATTAATTTAAAAATAAAATGTTGTTACTTGTTAAATATATCACTATAATATATACATACTTAGCCATGTTAATTTAACATAAGTCTGCATTACACATATCTGTTATTTTCATTGAAATTGAAATTTTCAACAAAATATGTCTAAGGAAAAACAATGCTGGTAAATAAAAAGGACTTACCCAATCAAAACACAGTGTTGACACAGTCATAATGAGATGCTCAGTTTCAGCTAAAGAGTCATGAATGTCGAGTAATAGTATGATTTGAATTCATAGACTTACAAATTGAAGAGAACATGAAATATTCCTACTCTGCTTCATGTCAGCATTTGTGGCATCCACCACCTGCCTCACTCTGACAGAGTATCCGTGCAGACAGGAAAGTGAGTAACCAACCAAGAAAGCTTTATGTACAAGATCTAAGAGAGAGTGACAGATGAGAAACAGGAAAACACGTCAGACCAATAACCTCAGCGTGGTACAGTTGAATATCAGATCGTTTGGTTAATAAACTTATCCCACACAGTCATTAATTTGATCATAAGCTATATCACATTCCATAACATTAATAAAATGAATGAAATTATGAACTACCATATTGACATCCAGTGGAGGATCATTTTAACTTTTCCTCAGTTAACTATTTATAGTTTGAATGGTGGGGAATAGAATTTTGATTTGATGAAGTAAAACTATGCTAGTTTGTTCTGTGTTTTCACTTCTGTGATACTCATAGAGTACAATTGAGATTGTCCTACCTATACTGTAGCTAAGCAAAGAAGACAAATTAGTTCTCTTGTGTCTCTTGTAAACATGTTGTGGGCTAATTGCTTCTTGGTCTAGCTCACTGTAGCTTGGTGTCTGCTTTAGGCCTAAAATTTGCTTCATGTAATAACATTTAAATGTATAAAAATGTTGGATACAAATATGCTGAATGTATGATTCCATGAGTCCTGGGTCTAAAGAGAGAGGAAACTTAAAGAGAGAAACCTCACCACCTTTCTAACGTCACAAGAGGAGTGATACAATCGGCGAAGAGTCTGAGTGCTGAGGAAACGCCGCTAAGCCAATTAGATTCGAGAACAGGAACTATCTGTTGTGAACTGTCCAAACGATTTGACTAAGTCTAAATATTATTTCACATCACTGAATCAACCTTAATACGTTTATTTGCAATAATAAAACAAAATTTATTTGGGTGAACTAACCCTTTAACTCATACATATACTAATGCATCTAACATCTAATGTTAACTAATGGAACCTTATTGTAAAGTGTTACCACAAAAAGGTTTATAAATTCCATTAATAAATATTTTACTAATGGTAAGTCATGTCAATAAAGCATCTACAAATGTTAGTAACGCAGCAGTTAATGTTGAATAGTGTACACTTTACAATAAGGTTTAAATTCCATTAATAAATGCTTAATTAATGGCAATTAATGTTAATAAAGAGTCTACAAATGTTAGACTCTAGTCACTCTTTCAGTTTTTATCTAAAAACATTTTCCCAGAAAGATTGAGTTAGAATAGTTTATAAGAGCACAATAATGAGGTCGTAAAAGCAGACAGTCTCTGACAGTCTTAGTCACTTGTCAGCTGTCTTTTTCAAATCACATAACAGCTTAAAAAAATCACAAGTGGGGTAATACCGATGTATGTCATAGAATAAAACTTGGAAGTGTCAAGACTTCATTTAAGCCATTTAACAAAGAAAAAAAAACATTGACTTTGACGATGGAATCAAAAGTGCTAAAATACTAACTCATTTCTGCATTTTGGCCCCAAAAAAGAGATGCCATACCAGCACCACTCTATTTCACCAGTTCTCAGAAAACGCTTACTGCACCTTTAAATTTCCCAAAACAACCACAGACTACCAAACTAGCTACTAATAATAATAATAATAATAAAAAAAAAAAACAATCTGGGTTAACTTGCTTATAAAAATGTTTTAAGTTAAAAATATTAATTCATATATGGAACTATAGACCTAAGTATAGTTAATCTGGTTACTACAGTCAATTTTGCATGGGGAAGTCTCAATTCTGTGTCCCTTCTTTCATAAATAGAAGCAGCTGCGCAGAGCTAAACAGATAAAGATGCCTGACCAACTGCTTTAGCCTAAAGCAATGATCAGTAGGAAGCAAAAACAGCCTCAGATGAAGGCTACCAGCTAAAATGAGAGATTTTGGTGTACAGCACCCAGAAGTGAACAGACTGACCCGGAAGCTGTGCTGTCTGGAGGCGCATAGAGAACATTCAGCCTCTTCACTGCTTTATTAAAGCCTCTCCTGCGAGAAAAAAAAACACTCTGACTGATCGATATAAAAGGTTTGTGCACTCATATCGTCTTTTTCCTTTTGCCCACACTGAGCAATCGTGCACATTACAGCATTGTACGAGAGATAAGTGTTCGACGGGAGCGATTTATCGCCTTTGATCTACCACAGGTTGCAAAAAGCGGAATATAACATCATAAATGGCATTATCTAAATGCATTGTACATGCATGTACTTATGTTTTAAATATGCATTCGCTATAACGCTGTTATAAAGCGATCGGGACGGCAGATGTTGTAAAAAATGACAGCCGCGCACAGCCTTTCTCCAATTGTAAGACATTTTTGCACGGCATGATTGTCGGAAGTGTCAGTTTTTTTCACGGGGGCCGGGCAATTCAAAGGTGCTAGTCTTCGTAAACAAACACACACACACACACACACACACACACACTTAAAACCACAAACATCTCGTTGAGCGAGCGGTTCCTCCCTGAAAAAAAATTGACCGACTTCAGTGTGAATCATTAGGCTCTGCAGAATATGGCGTCCTTATGAAAATATAACAGGCTGCCATTTTTGTTTTGTTTTTTCTTTTGTCTGAAATGTTTTTGGTGAAATTGTGCAGGAATTAGTCCGAGACTCTATGTAATCAGTAGATACCGAGATAACCACGACGTGCTGCTGTATGGGGAATCATATCACTAAAGTTTAGTGACTGTTGTTTTCCTCTAAAGAGGCGTCAGGATTTTTTTTCTACTTTAGATATTGATCTGTTGAATTGTTACTTGTTTAAATAGTTTTGATTATGCTTTTAAATTTGAAATCTAACATTGGGCCAGGATGTTTAACACGAGTCAGATTATGAGTCACATGGCAATTACAATTCTTGACACTTCATTTGAGCTGATGACTCAATTTGTTACCAATTAAAAAGAAAAAAACACTATGTTAACCATCAAAGTCAGAAATGGGTCAAAAATAACTGATATTTAAAAATAGTTGTCGAATGTGTAGCAAATGTTGTTTTGTTTTACTTGTTAATTGAGATTGAGTGTTTATTTAAGTTACGATTATTGAGGGTTATAGAAATTGTCCCGATTTTTACTATTAACAATAGTTTCTAACACAATATATGTTATTACAGTTATTCTTACCTGGCTATTAATCCACCACAAAAGATGTAGGTGTCTTTGTTTCCACAGTATTTTCAATTTTGATATTTTTAGGTCAAACCGTTCTTGTCTGTCAGTCATATAATGGAGGTATATGGGGTCCACCTCAATGAGCATGCACAGAGATGTCCAAATTAAACATGATTTAATGACTCATACATGTAAGTACACATTGATGGCCTAAGACACAAACCGAACGGTTTGTGAGAGAAAGCAAACAGTATTTATATAATTTTTATCTCTTGTAATCACAGTCACGTCCAAGTATGAGGGCGAGGGCGCTCCTGTCTGTGCAAGTGCCGGAAAGCCCCGGAAATGATCTCTTCCGCGTGTACGTCACTCATTGATTACACAGAGATTTCAGAAGTGTTACCCTTCACTGTGAAGATCCAAACATATTTAGATATACAGGAAATTGCAATGGAAGACGATTTTGATATATCAACAGACAATGTTGATTTTTTTTTGTACGTGGCTGTGGTTACAAGAGGTAAAAACAATTTAAATACTGTTCGTTTTCTCACACAAACCGCTTGTTTCGTGTCTTAGGCCATCAATGTGTACTTACATTTACAAGTCATTAAATCATGTTTAATTTGGACTTCTCTGTGCATGCTCTTTGAGGTGGACCCCATAAAACTCCATTATCAAAATTGAAAATTCTATGGAAACAAAGACACCTACATCTTGGATGCCCTTGAGGCAAGCTAAAACATATCAAAAAGTAATTTCAAAGTGAACTATCCCTTTAATTCCCAAATCAATTTATTTTGGTTTTACAGTAGTAACGTTAACAACTCAAGTAATTACAGTGTGAATTTTTGTACAGGAAACTTTTTGGAAAAGTGTTAAAGGAAGAGCTTTTGTCATCATTTACTCACCCTCATTCCATTCCAAACTCCTATGACTGACTTTCTTCTGTTAGACACAAAAGGCAGAATGACAGCCTCAGTCACCATTCACTTTCATTAAAAGGAAAAAATACATTTAAAAATAAAAAAGACATGCAAGATTTGAAGGACCTGTCAATGAGGACAGAATTGTTATTTTCATCAATTTGTGAACAACTGAAACAAGCATATCACATACAGTTGAAATAAATTCAATAAATCATCTGACTGAAAACAATAAAGATCTGAGTATTTATGTTTATTTTTAGTACAAAAAAATTACTTTATATTATAGATTTTGCACTGGTATGTATTGTTTTTAAATAAATTACTAAAAAGCAAAACTAAAATAAACGTGATTTATTTACATCTCATTAGTAATACTTCCTAACTAGACTCAATTTGTGTTACGAACACTGAGATTTAGTTGAGAAATATGTTTCTAAAAGCTTTTAGGCTGATGTGTGATTTTAAACTGTGATTTGACCCGCACTCTGTTTTATTAGAAGGATGGCAGAGCCTCGATTCAATAACCCATATTTCTGGCCACCACCTCCATCTATGCCAGGCCAAGTGAGTATTGTGTTTTTTAGTACAGTGTGATTACTTAGTCATACTGTACCTTTCGTTACAGAGCGAAACTGTGGCATTTGAATGTAAGAAAACATGACAATGGGCATTTTTGCAAATCTACAACTCGATGTGGTTTGCCAAAACATGCAACGAAACCTAGATAAAAGTTTCCCCCCATGTTTTGTTCGGATGGTTTAGTGTCTCTTGTCACTTGATGTCTCATGTCTAACTTAACCGATGAATTTTTACAGTTGGATAACCTGGTTCTTATCGACAAGATCAAAGAGCAACTGATGGCAGAAAAGATTAGACCTTCGCATTTGCCGCCTACCACTGTTCCCTCTCAGCAGACCCTGCTGGTGGCCTCTCCACCTACAGACGTTGGGCAACATTTAATGTCTCTCCCCAAACTGCAGCAGGTAGCGAGTCTTCAGGCCCACAATTCCTCTCAGCCTGACATCGCCCTGCACGCCCGCCCAGCGTCAAGCACCATTGCAGGTACCGGTAGCCCTCCCGTGCATTATCATGACAAAGTTCACCTTCACACTTCATCATTGTGTATTGTACATTTTAGTTTTGTGGATGTAGATATCTTTTATGTGGGTCAACAATGTGATGTGTTTTTAAATCTTCTGCAGGAATTACGATTTTGACAGAACCTCTAGGAAATTACATGTTTTTTGTTTAGCTGTCTATTCAGAATCATAGGAGATCTCTGTAAACAAGATTGTGAATCAATTTAGACCTGTCCTGAAATCATAAGGAAAAAATGCCTCATTAAAATAATTAGTTTTTGGGGTTTTTTTTAAAAAAAACAGAGAAAATCTTAAATTGTGTGGTGTAAAATTATAATATAATATATAATTAAAGCTTCACTAATATTTAATTAATATTTAATAAAGTCATGTGGTCCAACCAATATGAGTCATTTATTAAAACTCACCAAAATCATGGTAATGGTATTTTTTAATGAATAATTCATGATATCTGTAAAAAAAAAAAAAAAAAAAAAAAAAAAATGGTTACACCACACAATCATTTTTATACTCCATACATTTATACGTCAAATAATTGTAACTTACCAAAACCATGTGAAACCAGCATAAATACAAAGTGTACATTTCTAAGAATTTGGCCAATGCACACTCTTGTATGTCACTGACCCTGTAGTGACATCCGTGCTATTTTCTTACATCATTTCAGAGCTGAATATTGATGACAAGTCTGCGGTGAAGGCAAAAGGATTATGGGAAGACTGGCATATGCGACAAGCAGTGGACCAAGCCTCCAGATCAAACCATCGCTCAGGTGGTAGACACACAAAAGTCATTAACTTTCCATTTGCCATAGACAAGTTATTAACCTTCTTTTTGATTTTCAAAACTAGGTCTCATGCTGTCCTCGCGCATTGAAAGCCACAACACCTCTGAGGCTATAACTCCCACCACCCCGACATCTAGCAGTCAGAACCGTTTAGGTGGAGCACCTTCCATAAACACCATTTCCGGCCTGGCCAGCGGCCCTGGCATGGAGCACATGAAAAGCGGAGGTCTGATAGGGATGCTGGGACCACAGCCCAAAGCTCCACGGGGCCGCAAGAAGATTAAAGCAGAGAACAACACGGGCCCCTTGCTGGTGTTGCCCTACCCGCTTCTGGCCTCAGGCCCTGACCAGGCGGTTACCATCGCCAAAGAAGGAAAAACATACAGGTCACTGTCAATAATGAATCACACCAATTTACGACCTGTATTACATCTCATATTTCGCATAAACTTTAATTTCAGTTATTCGTTATTTCATTTTTGCATTTCAAACAGGTGTAAAGTGTGTCCACTCACTTTCTTCAACAAGTCAGAGATGCAGATTCATTCCAAGTCCCACACGGAGGCCAAACCCCACAAGTGCCCTCACTGTTCAAAGTCCTTCGCCAACGCCTCATACCTAGCACAGCACTTACGGATTCACTTAGGCATTAAGCCCTACCACTGCTCCTATTGTGAGAACTCTTTCCGCCAGCTATCACACCTCCAACAGCACACCAGGTCTGAAAAACTCTAAACTGAAAACTATATATATATTTTTAAAAAAAAACAGTTTAGAGTGTTAATATATCTCTCTTTGCTTTTAAGGATTCATACTGGTGACAGACCATATAAATGTGCCCAACCTGGATGCGAAAAGGCATTCACACAACTCTCAAACCTACAGGTGAGGACAGCTTAAAGATAAGGGCTGGATTAAAAGTACATTGTACAAATGTAAATAATGTTCATATATATATATATATATATATATGAATATGATACAATAACTTGTACACTGTATAACACTGTAAAACAACATTGACCAATGTGCTATACAATTTGGAGAAACATTTATACAGTGATAATACATAATACAATACGTATTATAATACATATATCTAACAACTCTCACAAAACAAACAAGCTACTAACATATCAGCAGTTAGAGTTAGACATAAAAACGAGAGAAAAAAGATGAGTTTTTAAAAGAGATTTAAAAGATACCAATGTGGAGGCAGTTCTAATATGCAAAGGCAAACTATTCCAGAGTTTCGGAGCCAACATTGAAACTGTTGAAGACAGGAAATGCTATATATATATATATATATACACAGTGACGTGATTAAGATTGGACACCCATGCTAAAAAAACATGTTTTGGAAATTGATCTTAATGACTTAATTAAAAATATTAGGAAAAATCCAACCTTTAAGGATTTAAGGACACCAATTTTCTTTCCGAATGAGTAATGTATCACACGTAAATAAACGTTCTTCCTTAAAATACAGGGTGCACAAGTTAGGACACCCCTACAGCATGTTAAATTCCCATAGAGGCAGGCAAATTTCATGGATCCAGGATAATATGCATCCTGATAAAGTATTGGCATGGTTTTATTTCAGTTAGCCTAATAGCTTGTTTGATTTGCATTGAGAGAGGATCTTATGGAAAGTATGCCATGCCATATTTATAAAATATTGTATAATTAATAAACAAATTGAAATTTCTCATTGCTGTTTTTATCAAACTCAAATAAATCAAAATAAATAAATGAAATCACATATATATATATATTTTTAATTGTCAATGTAATTGTCAATATACTATCGTCTTAATACGCGTTCAATGTTTTTCCTTATTTCTTCTCCTGTTCAGTCTCACCAGAGACAACATAACAAAGACAAGCCATACAAATGTCCAAACTGCTACCGAGCCTACACAGACTCCGCCTCCTTACAGATCCATCTCTCCGCACATGCCATCAAGAACGCTAAATCGTACTGTTGCAGCATGTGTGGCCGCGCATACACCTCAGTGAGTACCGATCCTCCTCAACGTATGGGAAAATACCTCTCTTGTCCTATCATAAAACCATCTTCTGTTTTTCAGGAAACCTACCTTATGAAGCACATGTCCAAACACACCGTGGTGGAGCATCTCGTCAGCCACCATTCCCCGCAGAGAACAGAATCTCCCAGCATCCCCATACGCATTTCACTAATTTGAGCTTCCCTCCTCACGTTTCTCTTCCATGAAAAGGTATTTTGTTCGCCGCGATGGTCTTCCGTTGAGAAAAAAGAAGAATGTGATGAGACCTCGGAGGACATTTGAGTCTGATATTGTCTTTTCCCCATTTTAGCTCTTAGTGATATTAAGCCTATAGGCTACAGACTCAAGAAATGCTGTCTGAACTGAATTGAATTGTTCAATTCAACTACAGACACCAGTCAAAAAGGATTTGATTGATTATTTCAAAAACAGAATGTCACAGTTGTGATCATTTTACATTTTGTTTCAAAGGTGTGTAAGGGAGACTTCCAAAGATACTCTTTAAGCACTTTTTCAGCCTCGTGGTTTCGCTCAAAGTAAAATGATTTTTTTAGAATGGGAGCAGCTTCTCGCTTTGGGCAGCTATGAGAGTTCAAGCATAGTTTTAGAAAGTCGGGGGGATTTTGTTGGTTTCCGTCTCCACTTCTACTCTTTATCGTTTGTTTTAACAGGATATTGTGTTGTTTTACTGTGGATGTGACACTTCTTCCACTTTAAGCTTGTATTATCCTTTTATAAGGGGTATTAGGTCATGGTTGAGAAATGAAAAATGATGTTTGAGTTGAGGTCCGATTTTATGAGCATGGTTTTTGCCCCAGTATTTTTACACTGGCAAAAAAGACCCAAGTAAGGAACTGTAAAAAAATAAATAATAATAATAAAATCCCCCAGACGATTCGTTTACATAAAAGAGGGTCAGTATGATATGACGCTCTCTAAAATAATGGCTTGTTTTATTTGCATCATAGATGTTTTACTAGTTTCACTTTTTCAGACAAGGCCTTTTTTGTGTGCAATGCAAATGCCATGCTTTCCAATCACAGTATTTTGAAGAAAAAGTGTCCTTTTTTGTCATTTTTTTTTATTAAATGGCATAATTGCATCATGACAATGTCCATTAAATGGGTTTTTCTTGTGATGTAACAGAAGAAGTGTCACATGGGATCAGTGGTGTTAACTGAATTACACATTTAGAGTGTAACGTGACTTCTAAACTCCGTTAAGTGTTTATTCCCTCTATTCTTTCCGAGATAAGCGATACAAAAGCACCTTGAGACATTAACTTACACCGATGGATAGCTGAAAGTTTTCATTCGTTTTTTAGGTGACATTATCTAATTGCAGTGACCTATTTTGAAATGTTTTTATTGTTCAAATTGGAAGTTCGTGCACCAAAAATATCAGTAATGCTGTTTAAAGAAAATATAGAATTTAAAAATCTAATTTTGAATGTAGTCATGTAACAAAAACACACTGGTTGAAATGAACACAAGGTCATCCAAAAGAAATAACTCTAAATCCGTTATGTTTATCTATTTTTTTGTTTGTTGCTTTGACAAGCAAAACCAGCTAACTAGCTGGTAAAATATGTTTTTGACAGAGTGGGCAGCAGTCTAAAATGTTACTTACTGGGTTAAAGCACACTTGCTCTATTGAATTATTCTAGCCAAATTTGATCATATGTGATCATATTTGCCATATGTGATGTATGCTACGTCAACAGGCCACAACACTGCAGCTCTACAACATTCATTTACATTAGTGGTCATTCATACCAGTCATTTGTTAAGCTTATTGTGTTCAATTCATGTCTATTTAGTTTTTTTTTTTTTTTCTGTTTGCAAAGGACCAAGTTGTTGCTCTCAAATGCTCAAAATTCCCCAAAATATATATAATATTGATTTATATATATACAGTATGTGTTTATTACACAGCAATGGCTTACTGGATCAAACCGGACTTTTGTTCTTTAATATTTGGAAATATGAACAATATCGCCATTTTAGATAACAGCAATTTGATGAGGATCTACTTCTTGGTGCTTTCTACAAAACCTCAGCTCATTGCCAGGAATCGGTTATTACATTACAGTATAATCCTGGCTTTTTCAGCCTCAAATCCACTTTAAATTAGTAAGACATGTACATTTACTATAAAATATACCCTGTATTCATTAATAGTGCAAATTGCAAGGTTTAGATACTGTACTTTGTTCATTTTTGTATCTGTTTAGTATATTTCAACTTATTAATATTTGTTTTTCTGTAAGTACTGATCATTGTTTTTATAGGTATCCTTGTCATTTTTACATGTACGCCTTAATTTTATCATCGTTGAAAGACCGGTTTCTTTCTCTTCCTTCCTCCATGTTGATGTTTTTTCATTTTTTCTTAAGCCTTTTTTCCGCATGGAACACTGTAATCGTTATTAATTAACTGTTAACATGTATTATGTAAGACATTGTTACATATGTTCTAAAATAATTCACGTTTTCCTTTGTCTTGCATTGTGGTTCCATATAATGATTTTGTTTAATATGCACAGACATGACTGATAGGTGAATTAAGAAAATATCAATGTCAAGAACACTTTGTATCTCTATCTTGTTTATTAAATTCAGACTGTTACACCTGAGCCTTTGTATTTTTTTAAACACACATTGAGATCAAAAAATCATTTGAGATCCTGTTTAGGATTTTAGACTGAACCTTGATTTTCTGGGACTCTTGAGAGTAAAATACAGAGAAAGAGAAAACACCATGACACGGATTTCTGGATTTTGTCTTTTGAAGGATGGTATGACTCATTTAATGAAGTTATATAAAAGTAAAAGTATATAAAAAGATAAAAAAATAGAAAATGTGGCAACACTTTTGTGATAACATACCTACATAAACATTTATCACGCACAGCGTTGGGTAAAGTTACTTTTAAAAGTTATGCATTGGAAAGCGCCCAGAGTGGGGACTCTGTCGTTCTGCAGGGCGACTTTAGGGCTGGAGTTACAAGTTAACAAGTTACCTCGATTACGATTATTCAACGATTATTATTATTTTTCTTCTCATACGTCACTGGCAAGGCTTATATTGTAAATATGTATGTATTTTTTCTACTGAAAGAGTGCATAATCCTATATTTGTGAGGATTATATATCCTATATCCTAAAACAAGGAAACACAGAGATAGCTTTTAATGCTTATTAAATATTGAAAAATATATTATCCTATTAATATTATATATACATAACGAACACCATGTTCAAGCATAAGGGTGTTCATCAGTGCACGTGGCACCAGGACGCCCTAGGCCGCAGGTCGATGATTGACTTTGGGGTCATTTCATCTGACCTGCGGCTGTATGTCTTGGACACTCAGGTAGAGAGAGGGGCGGAGCTGTCAACTGATCACCACCTGGTGGTGAGTTGGATCCGATGGCGGGAGAGGAAGCTGGACAGACTCGGCAGACCCAGACATACTGTAAGGGTCTGCTGCGAACATTTGGCAGAGTCTCTTGTCAGAGAGATCTTCAACTCCCACCTCCGGCGGAGCCTCGCCCGGATCCCGAGGGAGGCTAGAGATATTGAGTCCGAGCGGACCATGTTCTCCACCTCTATTGTCGAAGCGGCTGCTCGGAGCTGTGGCTGTGAGGTCTCCGGTGCCTGTCGAGGCGGCAATACCCGAACCCAGTGGTGGACACCGGAAGTAAAGGATGCCCTCAAGCTGAAGAAGGAATCCTATCGGGCCTGGTTGGCTTGAGGGACTCCCAAAGCAGCTGACGGGAACCGATAGGCCAAGCGGACTGCAGCCCGGGTGGTTGTGGAGGCAAAAACTCGGGCCTGGGAGGAGTTCAGTGAGGCCATGGAGAAGGACTATCAGTCCTCGAAGAGATTCTGGCAAACTGTCTGGTGCCTCAGGAGGGGGAAGCAGTACCCTACCAACACTGTTTACAGTGAAGATGGGCGGCTGTTGACCTCAACTGGGAATGTCGGCAGACGGTGGAAGGAATACTTCAAGGATCTCCTCAATCCCGCCGTCACGTCTTCCATTGAGGAAGCAGAGGCTGAGGGCTCGGAGGTGGACTCGTCCATCACCCTAGCTGAAGTCAAGAAACACCTCGGTGGCAAGGCACCGGGGGTGAATGAGATCCGCCCTGAGTACCTCAAGTCTCTGGATGTTGTGGGGCTGCCAGGGGCCGGAGGGTGTCAGTTTTGGGGACCACACGATTTAGTCTCTGCTCTTTGCAGATGATGATGACGTGTTGGCCCCTTCAGACCAGGACCTTCAGCATGCACAAGGACGTTTTGCAGCCGAGTATAAAGCGGCTGGGATGAGAATCAGCACCTCCAAATCCGAGGCCATGGTCCTCAGTCGGAAAAGGGTGGCTTGCCCACTTCAGGTTAGTGGAGAGATCCTGCCTCAAGTGGAGGAGTTTAAGTATCTTGGGGTTTTGTTCACGAGTGAGGGAAGGATGGAACGGGAGATTGACAGACGGATCAGTGCAGCTTCTGCAGTAATGCAGTTGATGTACTGGTCTATCGTGGTGAATAAGTAGCTGAGCCGCAAAGCGAATCGATTTACCGGTCAATCTATGTTCATACAGGCGGCCGAATTGAGCTTTCTCTGCAGGGTGGCTGGGCGATCCCTTAGAGCAGGGTTCCCCAAACTCAGTCCTGGAGGGCCACTGTCCCTGCAGAGTTTAGCTCTAACCCTGATCAAACACACCTGAGCAAGTAAATCCAGGTCTTCGCATTCAGTAGAAACTCACAGGTAGGTGTGTTTGATCAGGGTTGGCGCTAAACTATGCAGGGACAGTGGCCATCCAGGACTGATTTTGGGGAACCCTGCCATAAAAAATAGGGTGAGAACCTTGATCACTTGGGAGGAGCTCAGTGTAGAGCCACTGCTCCTCCACATCGAGAGGGCTCAGCTGAGGTGTCTCGGGCATCTGTTCCGGATGCCTCCTGGTCTGGACGCCTTTCCGGGAAGATGTTCCGGGCACGTCCCAATAGGAGGAGACTACGGGAAAGGCCTAGAGGGACTACGTCTCCCAGCTGGCCTGGGAACCCCTCGGTGTCCCCCCAGGAGAGCTGGAGGAAGTGTCTAGGGAGAGGGAAGTCTGGGGATCTCTGCTTAGACTGCTTCCCCCGCGACCCGGCCCCGGATAAGCAGAAGAAGATGGATGGATGGTAAAGGCCTTTTCACATTGAAAGTGAAATCAATAAGCCTCAGTCAGAAGGAAATGCATTTTCACTTGTAGTATGTTACTCCCAAGTCCCAACACTGATCATGTTGCCAATAATTTGTTCATAAACAACAGCTATTGGTGTGTTGCTTTGAGTACTGAAAAACTTGTTGTTTGCTGAGAGTAGTTTTGAATGTTTTCTGAGTATGAAGTAATAATTTTATCTCAGATTGACATAACCAATCAAACAGGCATCATGAAAATAAGTTTATTAAGAAAATACATGCTTTGTCAGTGTGTACCATGTGTACACTGAAGTCTTTCGCAATTTCAATGACAGGAGCCCTATGTGAATATTTTGTGAAAGTTGCATCCTAATATATAGCAGCAGGACACAATGTGCGGTGCTCTCATAATGTACAGGCACAACTGCAGGATCTTAATCCTTTTGCCACAGTTCAAAGTGATAAAATTTCTCATCTGTCAGATGATTTTACTCCCAGATCACAGGTAATTTCAGTCTCTAAGGACTAATAGAAAACACAAAGGGAGTGCAAAATAAAAGAATATTTAAAAACTCCAATTCCATTAGTAAACAACAATACCGTAAGGTTGCTAATGCTACCCGGTCTGTTTTCTTGTCAGTAGCCAAATCCTTTTGTCAGAGGGACATAATACCAACAGACCAACCTTTCTCCAGCATAAACTAACTCATATAATAAGGTCAAAATAAATATTTTGACATTTCATGGCTGTAGTTTTTGCCCTCCAACTGAAAAAATAAAAAATAACAGTGGACATGTAAAAGTAACAACACATAGATGATGACTATCGACATAGATAAAGTCTTAACAGCGTTTGTCTTTACACTGTGAACTGAACACAGATACACTACCATTCAAAATATTGGGGTAAGTATGATTTTTTTTATATTTCTGAAAGAAGTCTCTTATGCAAACTAAGGCTGTTTTTATTTGATCTAAAAACAGTAATATTGTGAACTACTGTATGTAAAATAATTGTTTTTTATTGTAAATATATTTTTAAATGCAATTTATTCCTGGGATGGCAAGCTTAATTTTTAGCATCAATATGCGGATCATTCTAAAATCATTCTAATATGCGGAAATATTAAGCAGCACAAATTTTTATTATTATTATTATTTTTTGTATGTGAAAACTGTGACATGTTTTCATCAGGGTTCTTTGATTGATAGAAAGCATTTGTTCGAAATATAAATATTTTATAACAATGTAAAAATCTACTTTCTTTTTTGATAAATGTAATGCATCCTTGCTGAATACAAGTATCCATGTCTTTCAAATAATATTACTAAAAAGCATCTTACTGACCCTACCACTTTAAAATTGTAGTGTAAAAGCTTTGAGCTATAAAAGGAGTGTAGTACTCTGCGCTCAATGTAACATTTTACCGAGTTTTCACCTAAAATCAGCACAGAATATGAGAAAAGGTCTGCTGACACATGCAAACACTTGATTTCAACTTGATCTCAAATACTTACTGCTTATCCAAAGGCAAAAGTGTATTTCAGTTGTAAAGACCCACAGATGGTGCCATAATAGTTAATAGTGCTTTAAGTGCTTTCCCACAGTTGTACCATTACAGGGTAAATGTATAAGAAAATACATATGGCACCTTACAGATGTGACAAGGCTATATTGACCATAGTATCCAATGAAGTATCATGTTTGTGAATGATATAAAATCTCATGCATTCTAATCTGACTCTATGTGAGCCACAAAGGCAATGCAACTGAATTCAATGCAGGTGAAATGAGCCCGAGCAATAATACATCTCTTCACACTCACTTTAAAAAAAAATTGACGTATAAGGTGAACTGAAGACTTCAAACATGACAGTCATGGTGCCACAGAAACTATTTCTTGAGCAAGTTGTCTATGTTTTACCCATCTAAACAACTTTTACCCTTCTACACTCGCTTATTTGACTTATTTGACACTCACTTGACTGATCCAGTGAATTTTCAGATTGGCAAACTCTGTAATGGCATTTCACAGTCTTTGTAACTCCCTCAGGCCTCATCGCTTGTGGCACTGAGACTCTCTTCCTGCTCTAACCTGCTGTTGGGAGCCACAGGTGAAGTCAGGTTCAGGTAGCCTATCTCAGTGGACTGTAAAACGGGCACAGACGAGGAGATCTCTAGGCTCTTCACTCCAGACTCACCCACTTTGACTTTGCGAATGGCATCCAATATTCCCCATGAGTCACAGAGCCCAGGCTGTGGACTAGAGCAAGATGTTGCAATGTAAGACGTCACCATTTGTTCATTGACACAGCAAAATAATACCATACTGATCTGCAGCCTCAGCGGAAAAATAAATCTAAATGGCAGATGAGACAAGATACATACTACCTTTATAAAATTGGGACCAGCAAGATTTTCTTTATGTTTTGAAAAGAAGTCCCTAAAGCTCACCCAGGCTGCATTTATTTGATCAGAAATACAGTAAAACAGTAATATTGTGAAATAGTATTACAATTTTAAACATTTTTCGTGTTAATATTTTTAAAATGTAATTTATTCCTGTGATGGCTAAGCTGAATTTGCAGCATCATTACTCCATTCTTAAGTCACATGATCCTTCAGAAATCATTCTAATATGCTGATTTGTTCAAAACATTTATTAGTACTAATGTTGAAAAAAAGTTGTGCTGCTTAATATTTATGTGGGAAAAAAAAGATATATAAATACATACTTCATGTATTTCTTTGAAAAATATTGTTTAACAATATAAAATTCTGTCACTTTTGACTATTTAATGCATCTTTCCCAAACAAAAGTATTTATTTATTTAAAAAAAAAACAATTCTAACCGCATACATACAACCGGAAGTGTATATTGAACACTAAACTTTAAATTAGTTACAGAAAAATATTGATAAAAATAGATTATATTACACCATGTTTTGTGTGTCATGTATTTTTTGTTTTGACTATATTTGAAAACAGAAATATTGAGTAGGTTGGAAGAAAAAAGTTCTGAATCATACCTTGGCGTTGATGTTCGCAACAGGCTATCATGATGAGCTCCAGAAGGAAACATTTTCTTGACCTCCTAAGACAAAAACACAAAATAAAAGCATCAGTCCAATCCACATTTGAAATGCTTATTTAAATTATAATAAAAAGAACAATTGCTAAATAAATGTGTACCTCAACAGTACACATCGACTGAAGGTTTCTCAATGCACGATCTAAAATTCCAATCTGATTGGCCAATGTTAGAGTTTTTTCTTGCAGCTCTTTATTCTCCATCTCCAGAAATTTAACTCTAAGAGAAATAAGGCAAAGAGACAGTTAGTATGTTTCTGTGCTTTCCTGTCAGATTTAGATGTTTACCTCTGCTGGATGGTAGTGGCAGTTCTCAGTCCATTGTTTCCCATCTCCTCAGCTTCACTTATTCGCTGTAGAAGTTCTCGTCTCTCCAGGAGGAGCTGGTCGTTTTCTTCTGTCACAGTCCTAATCCAGTCCTTCTCCTGCTCATAGTGGAAAACACTCCTGGTGAAGTTCATGTTAAGTATATAGTGTTGAAGGTCGGGTCTGAAAACACTCACTTTCTCTGAGAGACTTGACGCAAGAGCCAGATCGTTTTCCAGCTGCTGGATCCTGTGCTCATGTTGGGCGACTGTCTTCATGAAGATCTGTTTAGCTCTGCGCAACTTGGTTTTGTGCTGAGACTGTTTCTCGTTGTGTCTCCTGCAGGACACGAGTTTCATGATTTCATATTAACACATTCCATGTAATGTAAACGACTGAGCTTCACAGACACACTACCAGACTTTCAAGTCGTTTTGAACATGCAAAAACATGCGCCTTCTTGCAAGGAGACAAATGGAACCAATATGTTATAATATTGGCTCAAAATATTAAACCTTTTGATATCCTTTGACTGGATGGAATCAAAATCTGAAGCTTAAAAAAACCTGTCCATCATACACTGCACGATTTTCACAAGTTTACATTAACATATAACCACATATAATGCATATTAGGCGTGTTGTCCGAGAAGAGGGCTCGGAATTTGGCCCGAACACAGATTACTCCCTCGTATCCCTGGCTGGGATGAACAATCGAGAGTGAGGAGCTGGGGTGGAGGAGGGAAGCTGGGAAACCGTCACGGGACAGAGGTAAGTTGTCTATATAGGCCTCCTCTCGTGCTGATTGGGTAGATTACCTGAACGTGCTTCTTCTCGAACTTTGTTAATGATACATCTATGAAATCTGTGAACTGCAACTGCCTAAAATATTTTGGCAACTAGCATAGACTCATCTAGACTGCAAATCAGGGCAAAAATTGAGCAAAAGTCTTGTATTCCAGCCTTAAGAGTATAATGTCTACCCAGTGAATAATGATACCTAATGTGAGTGTCAAGCTGCTGAACAACCAGCTTCAGTTCCTCCTGCAGTCTCTCAGACTCATGTTGGGAAGACAGAAGCTGTTCTTCCAGCCTGTGGCAGCTCTTCTGACCACCTCTCTGCTGCAGGAAACATTGGTATTTCATGGTCAGTAGCTCCACTTGTATATCATCTCAGCAAATAGTATGATAGTTTCAACTCACAAACCTCTTCTCTAGCTGTGTTAAGTTCGCTCTCCAACACTTGCAGCCGCGTCTCCAGCTCCTGTGTGCGGTGTGACATCTCCAAGTTGTTGCGTGTCAATGTCGCCTCCTTCGCCCGCAATGAGCGCACCTGCTGCTGGAGTTCCTCGTCTTTCTGCTCAAGTAATTTCCTTTCAGAAAACACAGAAAGTCATTGAAAAGTCCACTATATTGTGAGTAAGGTCACATTTTATATTAAGTGACTTACCATGCACTTACATAAATCTTTTTTAGGTACAATATACTTATTGTTAGGGCTGGGCGAAAAGGCCAAAAAAAAATTGTCATATTTTTTTTTCATATAGGTCGATATTGATAATTATCAAATATTTATTTCTTTATTTTAAAGGCAGATTTTTGCTCCTAAGTGAAAGTTGTAGAAACCAAACCGTTAATTGTGGTTTTAAGCTACTCTTTACTGCCAGAACATGACAAACATTTAGCAGTAGCTTGAAAAAATAGTAACATCTGAAAAAATTGCAACACCCATATTATATAACATATTTTTTATGTTAAAATAAAAATTGTATGACTGTTTGAGTTTTATTAAAATGAACCATTGGTCTTCCGTAGTATAATACATTTGGATCCTGATAACCATAGTAAAAACCACACATATAGCATCTCACTACCATGGTAAAATTGTTTATAAAAAACTGTAATCTAAATACATTTAGCATTTAGCAAATGCACAAATGCTATAGCTTAACCACAAAAAGTATATTCCATTTATACCTTTAATACATGTGTTCATTGATAGTATAGTAAAATTCCATATAAATATCCCACATTTCTGCCACAATACCATGGTGTTATATAGATAAAAAAGTGATATATTTATCGGTCGACCACTAATATTGGCTTGTGGTGCAGTGACCCGTCTGACCTCTGTAGCTGATCCTCTTGCAGTCGGGCTCTGAGAGCAGACAGGTTATCGGACATGTCTCTGGTGTCTCTTTCTAGTTTGCTGGTCTCTCCTGCTCTGGCCTCTTCCAAGCGTATCTGGTGCAGAGCGTTCTTCAGTTGCTGTTGCAGATCTATGACCTGCAGACATGTTGAAGACATTCTTCATAATTGGTATACTACTGAACAAGAGAATTTCAGCCTGTTCTGAACACACACCTTCTTGTCAGCAGCAATCACACGTGCCCTCTCTGAATTGAGCTCCTCCATTAAGCTTCTGTTAGTCTGTCGGTTCTGAGCGCTTCTGGCCATCTCCAGCTCCAGATCTCTGGCTCTCTGCTGGAGTCTCTCCAACTCTGCCACCTGTCCTGCTGCGCTGCCCTCC